GAAACCACACAGTCTTCGCGCTCCATTGTCTTCACGTAATGTCTTCTCATGTCATAGTCTTCAGTGTGAATATCTTCTCATACCACCATTGTCTTCAATGTCTTCATACATTTTTAGGGGTCATCTCCGGTAGGTAAACCGAATCAATGAGGGACACTACCTGCGTTATCCTGCAATTCTCACAAACGCATTAGTCCCTCAACCAACTTTGTCGTCAATACTCCAAAACCAACTAGGGGTGGCACTAGATGCACTTACAGCACCGCTCCTGTGCTGTCATATTCCTTGCAATAATTTTTGCTTCTCTCATGGAATAATTGTAACTCATGAATCCTCCCCATAGGTGGCTCACACGTGGACCGTATACGTGGGCTTCCTTCCCTTGGCTTGTCGGCGAACCATATGACCCCGATCCACCTATGAGATATCCCGTTTCACCAGCTAATGAACTTTCCGGATCCATAGATTCACCCTGATCTGTTAATGTCCCCACGGTCGGTGCCATCTGTCGAGGGATTAACCTTGATCTTAACAGCCCACTAGGAGTACGTGCAATTTGTAGTCGAGGGGACGTCATGTGAGGAGTCCAATGGGTCTTGGACACATAACATAAAGGTGCACGATATACCCAATTTCAGGCCTCCAAGATGGATACAACCACTACTTCTTGACTTGCTTCTTATATATGTGGAAAAATAGAGGATTGCAATATTGAAGGGTACTCGCCAAGTCAAGGAAACTCGGCGAGTTCTAATGATGATGGAGGTGATTTCGACAGGAAGTGCTGGAAATTGTCTACGTGTTGTAGGTTAAGCTAGGCGGAAGGAGCGGACCCCCTTCTACAGTGCCGCTGGTGCCCCTTATATAGCTTACTTGCTGAATTCTAATGATGATTGAGTTGATTTAGATGGGAAGCGCCGAAAATCGTCTACATGGTGTAGACTAAACTAACCGGAAAGAGCGGATCCCCCTCTATGGTGCCCCTATGCCTCTTATGTAGCTTCGGTTATGGAAAACTCCATGTCGGTGCATGAGTGCGTACAAGGATGGGAGTCAGACTTGGTGCTTGTTTATAACATGTATCATTCATTCCTATGTTTCTTGGAGTGTTTTCCTTGCTGGTGTAATGTGACGGAAAGTCTCCTCCATAGGCGATGGCACTTCTCCTTAGGTCGGTGTGCTGTCCTTGGACCTTGGAATGGGGTGGGGGGCATCGGAGTGGCGATGAGGGCCAGGCCGTAGATAAATTGACTTATCATCGGCAGAAAGACACGGCAAAACAAGCCGAGTATGGTAACAAGCACCATGAGTGCACTACCAGACACCTCCAGCAAGCCACCGAGGAGAAGCGCATGAGAGGCCGAACCACCGCAAGACGCCACCAAGGCCGTCGATGACAAGCAAACACGTGCCACCTAAACCATCGGGGTTCATCGTACCATCCCTACCAAACGGCCATCGGAGAGGACCCTCTGCCCTCTCGCTCCGGATCGAGGAGCGCAGACCCTGCCGGCAAGGAGATAGGACAAAGGGAAGACGCCATCACGTGAAAAAGATAGGTGCAAACGAGGACACTAGACGCCAGAACAGGCGTGGTGCCAATTGGAGGTCCAAACCATCTCAAACGCGCCACCGTGACCGAAAGATACCTACACTCATGAGTGACGCCCCAAGAGGGTCACAACGCAAAGCGTTGCTGCCACCATGTCCAGCGGAGTGTCCATGGGATTTTACCCCGTGCGTCCCCCCGGGTGGGGGGTGGGGGTAGACAAGGCGGCTCCCTTTAGAGGGACACGACACTCGCAGACATCGCCGCCGCTGCCGAGGCACTAAGCTAACGTGTGGCCCTTCCCGCACACCTCGTCGAGGTACTCAGCTAGCGGACCCACCACGATGAACCGAGGACTCTATATTAGGATCAAGGCTTGGCCGTCGCCGAGGATGACAGTTTTGCTGCCCTGCCGCTGCTCCCCAAACTGCCAAGGAGAGCACCCAATACCATCGCCGCGGCGCTCGCCGGAGAGATGACTGCGCAGTCCACCATGCCACACCACACGGGTGCTCAAACTACCCCATGCCACCATGAAGCGGTCGGGGTCACCGCCTTGCAACCGGGAGCCTAACCACGACCAACAACGTTGGGAGCGGCACCACTACGCTTGCATTTGGACACCTTCCATCATCGAGTAGGCGACTCCTCGCCGGGGCGGATTTACCAGGCCTAGCCTTCAGATCACCAAGGGGGAGGAGGGCGAGCACCTCAGCCTCATCCCGTAGAAGCAACCTCATTGCCGTGTTCTCCAAGCCGAGGCTCTCTTCTAGGACGGATCCGCGAGGAGCTTCCCCATGACGTCTAGGGCACCGCACCAAACACCCCCTTCCGCTCAAATGAGAGGAACCACTGCCAGTGATCTGGGGAGAGGGAGAGGAAGAAGGGAAGCCTACTGCTGCTCTGGGCTTTGCCGACCGGCAGCGGCGATGGGAGGGGTGGAGGGTGGAGATCAAGTGGGGGTGGCGGGGTTCACCTCCCGTGCCACCTAGGAGGACAATATGGGGCTGAGCCAAGTTTTAGTCAAGGTTTTCTTCCATTGCTACGAAATAGCTAAATGTCATGTACAAGTACACATGACCGGTGAGTCTTGTTAATGTGTTGGGTGAAACCTAGAGCTATGGGATATCCTCAAACTTCATTTTTCTCATTAGGTTTCTGAACAAAGACTTGTTGCTCTTGCTTGGAAGATGGAGAGTGCAGGAGTGCAGCTCCCTCCAACGCGAGGGGCAGAACGGGCATTTCCCCCTCCATGGCCCCCCTTTCCTCCCTTCCTTCCTTTGTAGCCATCGCGAGTCTGTCCAGTTGTTTCCCTTTCCCCACCTCGCCTCATTTGTCGGCTAAAATACCCATCGCCACCACCTGCCGTCTCTCCCCTGGATTGAATCCCCCAAAACCCTACCGTGAAATTCGCCTGGATCGCCGGGAGAACGGAGCCCTAGGAGGCCTGCTTGCAGCTTGGCGGACTTGCGGTAGTGACTGGCTGATGCGGGGCTCCGCAGATGGCCGAGGGCCGGCGCTACTGGATCGTGCCACAGTTAGGTTGCCGCCTTCGGATTTTTCGTTTTTTTTGGTTGGTTAGGTTTGATCCGCCCGGTACTTGGCGTTGGTCAATGCCTCTTGGTCTTTGTTTCGATTTGTTTCCGCCCAACACCTTCCTTGCGTGCGGGGATGGGTTTAGTGGGCGTCGAAGATGGCGTTCGGCTGTCGCGGAATTTGGAGGTCATGGATTTGTTTCGCGCGAAGTGATTCGCCACCATAATTCTGTGTTTCCACGGCGGAGATTTTGGTCGTTTGGGGGGCTGCGGAAAAGGTGGAGACCTCAGTTTGGTGGCTGGGCGCGTGAGTGTCCTGGGAGTGGAACCACCCGGTGGCCGGAGCTGAAGTAACCGGCAACTTGCTTTGGGTTTCAGTGTTCTGCAGATGAATCTCGGTCACCCTGTGGTTCTTTGAGCTGCGCTTCCTTTATCTGTGTGAACATACCCCATACATGATCCTTCTGTGTTTGGGTGTGGACCAAAATCAGTATCTGAATTTTAAAAGTTGGAGTGCTAGTCACTTAGGTGTTTGGAACCACTAATAGTTACGAGGTTTTCTGGGGGAAATCAGGGCTCTAGAGATGTCTCCACATGAACCTGAAACATGAAATTGAATTTTGCAAGTGAATTTTGATGATGACACATGCTTTATTCTGTGTAGATTGGCAAGCAACAATGATAACATTTTCTTTTGAATGTTTTTAAATTCCACTTTTATATGACTAATTCTCAACTTTGTTCAATTGTCTAACTCTATATTTCATTGACTTCTAAACAGACATGGAGCAGATACTGAAGGAGGCTCAAACCCGATGGTTACGCCCTACTGAGATTTGCGAAATACTTAAGAATTACAGGAATTTTCATATAGCTCCAGAGCCACCAAATATGCCTGCAAGTATGACCCCTATTTGCTGTTCAAAACTCTTGTTATTTGATTATTTGTTTTTAGTTTTCAAAATTAACTTATGTTTTGGGCGAATATATACCAAAGCAATATTGTGTAACTTGGGAACTGGCATTGATTTGATAGCTTGCACAACACTGAGAATATAAGTTCCATTGAAACTGTGAGAACAGAAAATAAGGTTTTATGATGTTTTTCAGTTTTAATCTAGTCAAATATTGATGTCAGGTGTAAACTTAGCACATCCTTGTAGCCCTGCATACTTTTTAATGCCATATAGCAATACAAAATTATGATGCAATCCTTACTGTAACTAGTTTGAACCACATGGTTAAGCGTCTGGATCCACCATGATCTTTCTCCTGGTATCAGGATTGAACGGTTGCTATGTGATCAGGCACCTTCTTATGCCAAGGGCCATGTCTTGTCCCCTTGCGCAATGGTATTCTTTATGATTTTGGTTATACCTTATTAGTGCCTTTAGATTGATGCCATTTTGCCTTTGGACCAGCCATGCCATTGATTTGAAGATTCTATTTTACTAATATCTCCATGCTTGTAATGACACATACTATTTGGAGCCTATATATTATTAAAGTAAACATGCACATGAGCTGACAAAGTGTCTCCCAGTCATGTTAAGGTCTAATTGTATCTCACTAATATTTGTATCTCTGATTGTAGGTGGTTCACTTTTCTTGTTTGATCGGAAGGTATTGAGATTGTTTAGGAAGGATGGTCATAATTGGAGGAAGAAAAAGAATGGAACGACTGTCAAAGAAGCCCATGAAAGATTAACAGTAAGTAAAGTTGAATGTTACTCGTACTTATTTCTGTGACATCTTGCAGTATTTTTCTGAGGGTTCCTAGTCATACTGCATCGCTTGTCTACAGAGTCAAATTAACTGATATTTCCTTATAAATCTAGTCTGGAAGCATCGATGTGCTTCATTGCTACTATGCTCATGGGGAAGATAATATAAACTTCCAGAGGAGGAGCTATTGGATGCTGGAGGAGTAAGTGAAATACTTTTGGTGATCCATTCTGCTTTTGTAATATTGCAAAGTTCGCAGTTGCTGAATAGCTCATGGCATGTCTATCGTATATGTTTGTATGGGGCCTACATGAATGCACGTGAACTTAGAAATACCACACTACATTTGTATTTAAGCTATCCTACCTTTGCTTTTGCAGGGACTATATGCACATTGTCCTTGTACATTATCTCGAAGTCAAGGTTACACCTAATCCTTCTATGGTTGCAACGTTGTTAGCTACTTGTTTACCTTATCCTTATGTCTGGACAACACTTTAGGTGCTACATGTAAATTATATTGCTTCGATGGCATGATTGGTCTTCATATACTGTTCCTTTTGTGATACTAAATTAGTAATCACACTTGTAGTTTTAGTTTGGGATCATAGTTGCTATACCGCCTATAAGGAGCACTGATTTGATTGTTACTAGCCCTGGTGGTTGATGAGTTTGATTCTTATGAAAAACCAGGAATTAGGCAATTGTACATAAGAAACTGTTTCAGTGCTGTGATATGTTAAGTGATCGATCCTTGATTAGGTAGCCTTGTCAGAAATTGTTAATAATGCTGTTGATAACAGGATAAAAATGTAAAATAAGTGCAGAACTTCGAGTGAAATTAACTAAAAGGGTTAAGAAATTGGACTCCATGTTTGTTAGAATATTGTGCGTTTATACTTGCATATGTCCCAGTAGCACATTGTGTGAAAACTATCTCATGATAAACTGGCTAATCTGAACATGTTAAACTGATTTGTCGCCTATTTTGGAAACTCTCTGTTTACGTTGGTCTTAGAAGTAAATTTGTCTTGTTTCTTTGCTTACAATTTTTACTTTGCCTACTTACTTTTACTATCCTGGGTTTAAAGTCTGAGTTTTAGTCGTTGTTGCCTCATTCGCTGTGAACAAAAGCTTTCCTGCAATAAGCCGCTTAAAGTTCCATTTTCTTTGTATGTGGATATGAACATCAGGCTGGCTGGTAGGACTAGGGTTCCTACCGGCTCTACTCCTTAGGTTATAAGGGCAGAACAGCGGAGGTCAGGGGCGAGGACGCGCGCTCCGGCGTGTCGGCGCCGTCGCGAGGGAGGAGGAGGGCGGCGGCGATTAGGGCAGGAGGCGGCTAGGGTTCTGGCTCCTCTGGAGCCGGGCAATAGGGATAGAAATATCTTTATTGCTTAATCTCGAAAAGGTGTCTTACAACTAATATTTATAACCTCAAAACGAATAGCCTAAGATAACTTGTGGGCCAAGCCCCTAACTACTGTCCAGTGGGCCTCCTCCGGTTATATGTTAAACCGGTCATAACATCTCTCCCCGCCTGCACAAACAGCTCATCCTCGAGCTGAAAGTCTGGATAGTGGTGGCGGAAGTCATCACGTGGCTCCCAAGTAGCCTCCTCCACCGGAAGGCCCGCCCACTGGATCAAGACGAACCACACCCCACGACGGAGTTGCGCTTTCAACACCTTCTCTGGCTCCAGAAGAAGACGTCCGTTGGCGGTCGGAGGAAGCGCGGGTGGAGCCGCCGGTGGCTCTCCACGAAAAGGCTTGAGCAGCCCCACATGAAACACGTCGTGGATGCGAGCGCCGGCCGGTAGCTGCAGGCGATAGGCCATCTGCCCGATGCGCTCCAAGACGGTGAAGGGCCCAGCGTAGCGAGGACCGAGCTTGCGCTTCGCGCGCGGGTCGAGTGACTGCGTAGAGCGGTGGAGAAGACGCAGCCACACCCAATCACTCACCGTGAACTCCGCCTCGCGATGGTGGTCGTCGTAGTAATGCTTCGCCAGCTGCTGGGCCTGAAGGAGACGCTGACGGACCTCAGCAAGCATCTCGTCACGGGCGCGAATAAGGTCGCCCGCGGCCTCCCCGTAGCCGGGTCCACCGGCAAGATAGGCGGAGGCGGCCGACCGAAGACCACCTCAAATGGTGTCGCGCGCAGGGCGGAGTGATGGGAGGTGTTGTAGCGGTACTCCGCCCATGTGAGCCAATCCACCCAAGCACGAGGCTGATCACCTGTAACACAGCGTAAATACATGGCAATCACCTTGTTAACCACCTCAGATTGGCCGTCCGTCTGGGGGTGAAAGGCCGTGCTGAAGCGGAGCTTGACTCCCGCCATCCTGAAGAGGTCGCGCCAGACATGGACCGTGAACACCGTGTCGCGATAACCGTCGATCGAAGAAGGGAAACCGTGCAGACGGACGATACCGTCGAAGAAGGCACGGGCCACGGACGCGGCGGTGTAGGGATGCCCCAGCGCGATGAAGTGAGCATACTTAGAAAAGCGGTCGACCACCGTGAGAATGACCGATTTGCCGCCCACCTTGGGAAGGCCCTCGATGAAGTCCATGGAGATATCCGCCCAGACCTGAGATGGCACGTCCAAGGGTTGAAGAAGACCAGCCGGCCGTAACGTCTCCGTCTTGTTGTGCTGGCACGTCGTGCAAGAACGCACCCAATCATGGACCAGGGCGCGATTACCAGGAATGTAGAAGTCGGCGCAGAGACGATGGAGGGTTTTCTGCACACCCTCATGGCCAGCCGAGTGGGCTAGCAGCAAGACTTGGTGACGGAGATCATCATGCGCCGAAATGAAGACACGGCGCCCATGGACGAGCAGGCCATCGGCAAAGCGCCAAGGCTCCTCCAGGTCGCCGGCAGCCAGCTGCTGCTGCAGGAGGACCGCGTCGGCAGCGGTCGCCGTGGCCCGGCGAATGTCGTCGAAGAGGCCGAAAGTCGGCCCTAAGCGGATGCACAACGCCGTCCCCTCGGAGTCGCCGGTGACGGAGTCGAGGTCGGCGTCGCGGCGGGACAAGGCATCGGCCACGGTGTTAAGACGATCCGGGCGATACTCGATGGAGAAGTCGAAGCCGAAGAGCTTGCTAATCCACTGGTGCTGCGGCACGGTCGAGAGCCTCTGGTCCAGCAAGAACTTGAGGCTGTAGTGGTCCGTGCGAATTTGGAAAGACCGGCCCCACAGATAGGGCCGCCAATGGCGCACCGCCTGCACCAAGCCAATGAGCTCCCGCTCGTACGCCGCAAGCTTGAGATGGCGCGGGGCGAAGGGCCGGCTGAAGAAGGCGAGAGGGCCATCGCCCTGATGAAGCACGGCGCCGAACCCTGCACCCGAGGCGTCACAGTCCACCACGAACGGGCGGTCGAAGTCTGGCATCTGAAGAACGGGCCCCGTCGTGAGGGCCCCCTTGAGGGCCTCAAATGCTGTCGTCGCCTCCTCGTCCCAAGCGAAGGCGTCGCGGCGCAACAATCGCGTGAGTGGCGAAGCGATGAGGCCGAACTCCCGGATGAACTTCCGGTAGTATCCGGCGAGGCCGAGAAACCCGCGAAGAGCCAGCAGAGACTGCGGCGTCGGCCAGGCGGCGACGGCGGCCACCTTGTCGGCGTCCATAGCAACCCAGTCGGCCGAGATGACGTGGCCCAGGTAGGCAATCGAAGGCGTCCAGAACGAGCACTTCGAGCTCTTAAGATGAAGATGATGCACCCGAAGCTCGTTGAAGACGATGGCGACGTGCTGGAGGTGCTCTGCCCAAGACGCACTGTACATCAGAATATCATCAAAGAAAACGAGCACAAACTGATGCAAGTAGGGCCGGAGGACGTCGTTCATCAGAGCCTGGAAGGTCGCCGGGGCGTTGGTGAGGCCAAAGGGCATCACCAAGAACTCGAAGTGGCCGTGGTGAGTCGGAAACGCCGTCTTGGCGATGTCATCCGGGTGCATGCGCACCTGGTCGTACCCCGACGGGAGGTCGAGCTTGGTGAAGAAGCGCGCCCCGTGTAGCTCATCGAGGAGCTCATCGACCACCGGAATAGGGAATTTGTCCTTAAGTGTGACAGCATTAAGGGCACGGTAGTCGATGCAGAAACGCCATGTGCCGTCCGACTTGGGGATGAGAAGCACTGGCGCGGTAAACGGCGAGGTGGAGAGCCTGATGATGCCCGTCGCAAGCATGAGCGCACACCGCCGCTCCAACCCATCCTTCTGCAACTGCGGATAGCAGTAAGGACGGACCGCCACCGGCGCCGAGCCCGGCAGAAGGTGTATACGGTGATCATATGCCCGGGCGGGCGGAAGCCCCTGTGGCTCGGTGAAGAGGTCGTCGTGCTGCTGTAGAAGGCTCTCCAAGAGTGGGTGCTCGGCCTCGGCGGTGGTCGCGGCCAGCTGAAGTGGTGGTGCGGGTGCGGCACCCCCAATGTCGTCCCACCGAATGCGGCGGCCCAACCGCCAGAAGGTCATCGTCAGCGCGTCGAAGTCCCAGAGAATGGGACCAAGAGTGCGCAAGAAGTCGACCCGAGGATGAAGTCGAAGCAGCCCAAGTCGATGCTGGCGCAGGTGATGGTGAAGTGCTCGTCGCCGATAGTGTTGGGCACGTCGCGGGCGAGCCCGTGGCAGCGTAGACGGTCGCCATTAGCGACAGTGACCCGCAACCGCTCCCCGCCGGTCGGCTGTAATGCAAGGCGCCGCATGGTGGTCTCCGGCAGGAAATTATGCGTGGAACCTGTGTCCAGGAGGGCCACCAGGCGCTCGCCATGGATCATGACCGGTAAGAGCATCGTCCGTTCATCACGGATGCCGGCCAGCGCGTGAAGCGAAACAGCGATGGCGGTGGCCGGGGCGGGCGCAGGTGCCGGTGCGGGCTCCACGAGGGCTGGGGCGCCGAGACCATCCTCCGGGGTGTCATCCTCGGTCTCGTCCGTCGTCTCCAAGTAGAAGAGGCGCGGGCAGACATGGCCCGGTGCATAGGGCGCGTCGCAGTTGAAGCACAGGCCCAAGCGCCGGCGTTCAAGCTGCTCCGCCTGAGTAAGGCTAGGGCTGGGTGGGGGCGGTGGTGGCACCTGCACGGTTGCAGCCGGAAGGGACGGCGCGGCGGGGGACGGCCATTGCGGGCCCTGGGCGGCGGCTGGCGGCGCGGGTGGCGCCGCGAGTGCCGGCGTCGGCCACTATGGCCAAGGCGGCGTCGAAGCCGCCAGTGAGGGGAGCGCCGGATAGCCCCCGGTGATGGCCGCGGGAACGGAGTACCACGGCAGTGCAGGCTGCGCGGGCACGGCCGGATGGATCGGCGGGGGCGGCCCGTATGGGCTAGCCAAGTAGAGGCGGATGCCCTGGACCGCGACGACCAGGTCGTTGAGCACGCCGGCCATGGCCTCCGGCGTAAACTGCTGCGGCACGGGGGGTGGCGACGGCGGCGAGTTCTGGACGGGGGGTTGCGGCTGGCCCTGGCCTGGCGTTGTGCCGGGTGCGGGGGAGATCGGCGCCGACAGCGAGGCTGTGGCGCCCGGCGAGGAAGCGGCGGCGGTGGTGGAGTTGGTGGCAGCGGCGGTGGGGGAGTTGGCGGGCAGCGGCGGTGGTGGTGGTGGCGACGGGTTTGGTGGCGGCGAGGACATGGTCGAAACCCGGGTACCTGATACCAAATTGGTAGGACTAGGGTTCCTACCGGCTCTACTCCTTAGGTTATAAGGGCAGAACAGCAGAGGTCGGGGGCGAGGATGCGCGCTCCGGCGTGTCGGCGCCGTCGCGAGGGAGGAGGAGGGCGGCGGCGATTAGGGCAGGAGGCGGCTAGGGTTCCGGCTCCTCTGGGGCCGGGCAATAGGGATAGAAATATCTTTATTGCTTAATCTCGAAAAGGTGTCTTACAACTAATATTTATAACCTCAAAAAAAAAAAACGAATAGCCTAAGATAACTTGTGGGCCAAGCCCCTAACTACTGCCTAGTGGGCCTCCTCCGGTTATATGTTAAACCGGTCATAACACTGGCAAATCAAGTTCTCGTACTAGGGGGCATGATAACATGCTACAAGGGGCATACAAATTCTAGCAGGGAAAAATAATAGGAAATTGGAATTTTAGGGGGGAAATGCTACCCCATAATTCTGCAATGACATTGTCAGAGTTCAAAGAGCATAGCCAATCTTAACATGTTTGTTTTTCCAGCCTTTTGGTTACCTAGTGTTGTTAAAGTATGAATCTGTGGTACTCCCTCCGATCCATAACAAGTGTCGCAGTTCTGCGACACTTGTTATGGGTGGGAGGGAGTATTATATATCCACTTTGCACAGATTAATATTTGCAACTTTTATAGTTATTTTTTCAGGATGGCGTGTATTTATTTTCTTTGATTAGTCGTAGTAATAGTGTTTCCTATTACATTGTTGGTTCTTGCCATCCCAGCAGACTTATTTTGTATGTTATTTTGCACACTGTGATTAATTGCATCTGCTTGACTTCCATGCTACTGATATTAATACTATTATTGTCTTCATCCTAAAATATATACTATTATTGTCCAACTTCAATTTGGTTACAGTACTCACTTGTGAAACTACTGAATTTCAGCTTCCAAGTGGTAATGATGGTACGAGTACTGAATGTCTTCAGCTTCCAAGTGCTATTGATGGCACAACTACTGAATTTCAGCTTCCAAGTGCTACTGATAGTACATTTGCTACAGTGGACAGTTTTGAACAAAACAATAAACTTTTGGGGGAAGCCATTAATTTCCCCGTCCTGAAAACTCAATCATCTAATCTTTCTGATATGCTGAAGGACAGCTTTAAGAGAAGTGATAGTTTTGCTAGATGGATGAGCAAAGAACTTGCTGAAGTAGATGATTCCCAAGTTAAGTCCAGTTCTGGATTGTACCGGAACAGTGAAGATGCTGACAATATCATTGGAGCATCGAGGCATGATCAGTTGGATTGGTTTACTCTGGACCCAATGGTTGCACAAGATCAGCTGTTTAGTATAACTGAATTTTTTCCAAGCTGGACATATGCAGGTTCAAAGACTAGGGTATGTCTTCTTACACTTATCCTTTATGCTTCTAAAGCTTGAAAGTCTTAGGAGTGCCATACGAAATAGAACTGTCCTGGTGTCTGAGTGAATTAGTGTTCTTTAACTGCTTACAAAATTTCTTGTGTCCTGCAGGTTCTTGTTACTGGTAGTTTCCTAACTTCTGACAAAGTTATAAAGCTCAAGTGGTCGTGCATGTTTGGAGAAGTCGAAGTTCCAGCAGATATTTTAGCAGGCGGGACTCTCAGGTGTTATTCTCCCCCGCACAAACCTGGCAGGGTCCCTTTTTATGTGACTTGCTCCAACAAGTTAGCCTGCAGTGAAGTACGAGAGTTTGAATATCGACCAAGTGATTCTCAATACATGGATGCTCCAAGTCCACATGGTGCTACAAACAAAATATATCTCCAGGCGCGTCTTGATGAATTATTGTCTTTGGGACAAGATGAGCAAGACAAGTTCCAGGCAGCTCTATCTGGCCCCAAAAAGGAGTTGATTGATTTGAACAAGAAGATAACCTCATTGATGACAGACAATGATCCGTGGTCTGAATTGCTAAAGTTCGCTGATGATAATCAGCTAGCCCCTGATGATAGGCAGGATCAGTTTGTTGAAAGCAGTATAAAAGAAAAGCTGCATATCTGGCTTCTCCATAAAGCAGGAGGTGGTGGCAAAGATCCCAGTGTGTTAGATGAGGAAGGGCAGGGCGTTCTTCATCTGGCAGCTGCTCTAGGATATGATTGGGTGATAAGGCCGACAATAACTGCTGGTGTAAGCATAAATTTCAGAGATGTTCATGGATGGACTGCACTTCACTGGGCAGCATTTTGTGGCAGGTAAGTTCTTCTGTGGGTGATAGTTTTTGTTTGTACATACATACATACATATATATGTAGTACTAAACTTGTTTGCCCTGTTCTGCAGAGAGCGGACAGTTGTTGCTCTTATAGCATTAGGTGCGGCTCCTGGAGCTTTGACTGATCCAAGGCCTGATTTCCCTTCAGGACGCACGCCAGCTGATCTTGCGTCGTTCAATGGGCACAAGGGAATTTCTGGTTTCCTGGCAGAGTTTTCTTTAACAAGCCATCTTCAAACCCTCAACCTGAAGGAAGCCATGGGGAGCAATGCATCAGAGATATCTGGTCTACCTGGTATTGGAGATGTTACCGGAAGAATTGCCTCACCATCGGCAGGTCAAGGTCTTCAGGCTGGATTGATGGGAGATTCACTAGGTGCTGTGCGGAATGCTGCCCAAGCTGCTGCTCGGATATTTCAAGTTTTCAGAGTGCAGTCCTTCCAGAGAAAGCAAGCAGTTCAGTATGAGGATGACAATGGTGTGATATCATATGAACGTGCCATGTCACTCTTGTCTTATAAACCATCTAAACCAGGACAATTCGATCCCATGCATGCTGCTGCAGCACGAATACAAAATAAATTCCGTGGATGGAAGGGAAGAAAAGAATTTCTGCTTATTAGACAGCGAATTGTCAAGATCCAGGTATGTATATCAAGTATATGACAATTAATCAAATGGTTTTGTTTCAATTCTGAACGCTCCAGATTAATACTGAATGAGTACACGAACACACTTAATATTTTTTCTACTAAATTTTGCAATACTAAAATCAACTATCACCATATCGTTCACAAATTTATGTAAAGGTACAGAGTGAAACATGAGCTATATATTTTTTTTCGACTAATCTAGTATCTAGGACAGGATATCATACCATGATGTTTTAACAGTAGTATAAAGCTTTGTCAAGTATCTCTTCTTCTGATGCTATTATTATAATGAACAAATCTTCTCAACCGTGCTATATTGTGTACTGGCTAGGCTCATGTGCGAGGTCACCAAGTGAGCAAGCATTATCGCAAAATAATTTGGTCTATCGGGATAATGGAGAATGTTATATTGCGATGGAGGCAGCAAGGAGCTGGGTTACGCGGGTTTCGGTCTACAGAAGGTGCAACAGACAGCAGCACTAGTAGCAGCAGTGTCGATGTAATCCCAGTTAAACCTGCAGAGGATGATTATAACTTCTTGCAAGACGGACGGAAGCAAGCTGAAGAAAGACTGCAGAGAGCTCTTGCCAGAGTGAAGTCCATGGTTCGGTACCCCGAAGCCCGGGACCAAGATCAGAGGATTCTGACTGTCGTAACAAAAATGCAGGAATCCCAGGTAGCATTATGTTTTCCCGCCCTTTTAGCACCAATACAAAAGTTTTAGGGTGATGCTGAACAGTTAGGCATGATGTTTCGTCTCAAAATTAGGCATGCTTTTCTGCCAGAGTTATAGTTTACCCCTCAACTGTAAAACCAGACAAATTGGACCCACAACTATCAAAACTGGAGGCTATTCCAAAGTAGTTTTGGATGGCATGGAGTTTATTTCCAAAGCCACCTCAGAAACCCTGCTTGGTGGAGGTAGTTCCTGGGATGTGATTTATCCGGTTTTGATAAATGAGGATGTGGTTTGATTTAAGTGTTGGAGAGGGGGGGAGTTGAAAAAAAGGAGATGAGAGTTTTGCTCTGTTTTCTTAATGGGATGCTTACTCAATTCTTTGTTGCTAATAATCTGACAGCTTGTGGAGGAAACTTTGCTTGAGGAGTCGACGGAGATGGATGAAGGCTTTTTTGATGAGTGAATTCAAAGAGCTCTGTTATATTATGCAGCAAATTCAAGTATAAAGAGAAAGGGTAACTTCCGACGAGCGAGCGGGGCCGAAGCGGAATGAAATACCTTGAGATGTGATCTGTGCAGAAATAACAAATTCATGGACTTTTGGGATGAATAGTATCATGTGTTGGAAAGCCACATATTTGTCTTTTTTGCACAGCCCTCGTTTCAACTTATTTCGTCCTGAAAATTTACACACATGTGTGTTATGCCTCCATGCATGTCTATTTTTTTTAGAATTTTTGAAATGTAAAATTATGATTTTTGTTGAATTTTGAATTTTTCAAAAACCAGCCTCCATGGAGGCTGATTTTTTTTGAAAAATCATATATCAAAATTCATACTTTTTGGTTTCATCATGAGAGACCACACCAATGATCATCCATCCAACGACTATGTATTTGGCATCTGGCAGCATAATCAAGCACCGCCTGATCAATCATGCGTAGTACGCGCAGTCTTAAACCAGTGATGGCCGGAGAGCATGCAGCACCAGCGGATGCAGCAGTTGCCTTGTCCTGCATATGCAGCGCAGAGCTAGCTGTGTCAAATGGGCCGAGCCTGGTGGCCAAATTCACTGTTTTGATCCTTTTGAAAGTTGAGCAAGATCTGACCTGCTTTGATAAATATCATTATCCGACTCTTTCTACAGTCGTAGTCCTTGACGAGGTTAATGACGGCAGGACTTAAGTGCACAATCATGCCTGTTTTACATAAAAAATATCCTGCCGCCAGTGCTTTTGATGATAGTTTGTTACTCCCTCCGTTCCCAAATATAGTGCTTCCTCTATTCCCGTACTTCAACTTGACCATAAATTTGATCAACAAGACCGATTGCGGCGGGAGCAAAAGTTATATCAATGAATTCGTATTCAAAAGAAGTTTTCAATTATATATTTTTTCTTCCACTGTAGTCGGTCTCGTTTATTAAATTTATAATCAAAGTTGAATCTCGAAAAACGCAGACGCAATATATTTTGAAATGAAGGGAGTATATCTTACCGTCATGAAATTTCACGGTAGGGTCTTAACCGTGCTCACAGTTTAGTATTCCATTCGTCCGAAAATATTTGTCATCAAAATAAATAAAAGAGATGTATTTAGATGTATTTTAATTCTTGATACATCTTTGTTTGTTCATTTTAATGACAAATATTTTTGGACAGAGAGTACTGCAGAGCAGCAGTCAGCTATACACTGCACTGCAGTACCATGTGTTTATGAGCTAGAGTTAAAAGCTAGCCATGCGTGTGTGTGGCCTAGAAAAGCACAAGAGGACAAGCTAGGCCATGGATGTGTGACCTAGTAGTAGATAGGCTGGCGCAGCTGGGACAAGACGCGACAGCGGGCAAGGAGTGTATAGCTACAGTTAATTAACTCACTCGAAAAAAAAACTCACTCCCAAGTAGGCATGCAGCAGCCGTGAGTTTACTTCCTCCGTTTTTGAATAAGTGTACTTCTACTTTTTATTCTAAGTTAAAATTTTAAAATTTTAACCAATTTTACAGTAAAGAGTAGTATATGCCATCAAATTGGTATATTATAAAACTACATTTCAAAAGAATCTAGCGATACTAATTTAGTGACATAAATGCTACTACGGTTCCTATATAGTTAGTCAAAGTTATAAATTTTGATTTAGGACAAAAGTTAGATGTACACTTATTCACGGACGTAGGGAGTACTAGCCATGCATGTATGCGTAGCCGGCCAGTCTTCAAGAACCTACCAGCCAGGACCATGGCGGTAGGTTTACATAGCCTACCGCCGAAGGGCCTGACGGTAGTATATTTTTAACATTAAATGTATGTGACGGCGCGGTTAAATGCTATCGCCATTGACCTTGGCGGTAAATTGTGTAACCTCACCGTCAAAGACTACGGTGATAAAAGAAAAGCTTAGATCGTGATATTTTTTAAAATCGGGTCTAGATCTTGCTCAACTTTTGCAAAAAAGTCAGAACAACGAATTTGGCCGCGCCTGGTCGTCCAGTCGGGTCGAGTCGGACTCCCCAAGGTAGTCTAGAAGCCCGCAGCTTCGGTTAAGTTAAAAACTCGAGCGCGACTATTCCTCCCTAGTCCCCACATTGACACACGTTGCGCACACACGTACGCAGGCCGCCCGGAGCACGTCTTCCTGTCTCCTCCGCTTCGCTGCGAGTGCGAGGGGAGGAAATATTTCGTGTTTTGACCCTTTTGTGGTACAAAATCGGGATTTGACCTATGTTTGAATTTTTTCTTGACATTTGATCCTTTTCCTACCGCCACGAGGTATGGCGGTAGGATTATCTAGGCTACTACCAGAAGCTGCGGCGGTAGAAAACTTATCCACGTCAGCAGTGTTAACGGCCTCCGCCCCCCCTCCTCCGTCCCACCCTACCGCAGCCGGTCTTGGCGGTAGCTTGTCCGATCCTACCGCCAGGGTCCCTGGCGGTAGGGTGCGGGCAGTTATAAGCCGCGGGACGCCCCACCCCTCCCCTTCTCCCCCAACCACCCGCCCCAAGAACAGAGGAGTTCTTCCTCTCACCCCTCTCTCTTCTCCTCCACTCCCCCCTCTGATCTTCGTCGTTTCTTCACCGTTTTTGCGGATCGAGATGGCCCCGGAGAAAGAAAAGTAAGCTCCTTCGATCCCTCCAATTATTTTTAGTCAAATAGCTCCCGATTCGTCGCATTATTTGATTCAAATCACCCCCCTTCTTGAACTAGATTTAAATATTTTGAACCCTAGGATTGATTTAGGTTGATTATAGATGTTATATTGTGTTAGATATGAACTCTAGTCACTATTTGGTATGGTTATGTGAAGATGAACCCTAGTTCATATTATTTTTGGATGATTGTTTTTGATATGATACATGTTAGAGGAATTTATTGTGATATGATGATGCATGTTGATATGCTATGATGCAAGTAGTGGATATAGTTGGAGAACAAATGTTGAACCCTCAAGATGAACCTAGTTCATAATTTTTTGTGTTAAAAAAATTTATGAATATTGGAGATATTTGTTTTGATATAGGATGCATGTGGATCTTTATATGATGCAAGTAGTGGATTTTGTTGGAGTAAACATGGTTAATCCCTCAAGATGAACCCTACTTTAGTGTTTTTGTTTTTGAAAACAATATGATATGATGCATGCATGTTGGATGTTGTTGGAGAAATATGATATGATATAATGCATTTGAACCATGGTGATTGCATCTTCATATATGTATTTTATTTAGTTCTTGATATATGTATTGTATTTAGTTCATGTTCATGATCATATTGATATATGATTATTCAAAGATTGAACTCATAGGTTTTTTTGGATGTGATGAACCTTTGTTATGCATCGATATGTTTCCTAGTTAATGATGAACCCTAGTTCATGTTGAAAAATCTTTTGATATGCTTATGCAATTCTTTTAGGAGGCCACCTCTTGCGGACGACATCGGCATGAAGTACACCATGCTTGACACTAGGTTCGACAAGCGTCACCGTGCCCGTTTCATTGAGAATGGAGTGGTAATTACCATTTTAAACCAAATCTTTCAAATTGATGAAAACAAGTTGCTAACTATTATGTCCATGCTAATTATGCTTTGGTTATTGATTTTCACAGATGCTGCCACCACTGCGAATGAGGGCTCACAAGACGACGGTTAAGATGGAGTACGACGAGCAGTACGCACCGTTCTTCAGGAGAGCCCGACTATTGGGTTTCATCCTGTAGTTCAAACGTAAGCCACCGACGCTCGTCCACTCAACTCTCACGGCTTTGATCGGCCGATGGCGGCCAGAGATGCACAACTTCCATCTTCCATGTGGGGAGATGACCGTGACCCTCGAGGATTGGGCGATGATTACGGCCCTACCGCTCGAGGGTCGTGCTCTCACAGGAAGAGTGGAGAGGGCGAACTGGCACGATAGGGTTGTCACCCTCATCGGCGACTGCCCCCCCATTAAGAGCAACCAGGCTTCTAGCATACTGCTGCCATGGCTCCTCGAGGACCGGAGCAAGTGCCCGAAAGATGCCGAGCCCCGGGTGGTGGAGCAGTACGCAAGGGCCTACCTGTGGTATCTTCCCACGGAGGTAGTGTTTCCGGACTGCTCCGGGAACACTGCCCTATGGATGTATCTCGACTTCCTAAAGGACTGGGATGCGGGGTACAGCTGGGGGGCCGCCGGACTCGCCTACCTATACCGTTCGGTAAGTGAATATCACTTTCTTTCAAATATCATGGACGTGTGCTGCTTTAGATTTTGACATCTTATCATCTATACTTGGTTTGTAGCTTGACGACGCGACCCAGAGAGCGGAAGTCACGTCCTGTATGTGTGGATGTGTATGGGGCCTCTCCATTTGGATGTGGGAGCGAATCTCGGTGAGCCATCCGGAGAAGCTGCGCTCGCGTGCATGGACGGACTATGGTGGAGATGATGAAGATGATCGGTGTGACGCCCCCGATTCAATCGTACACTAATCATACACGCAAACGTGTACGATCAAGATCAGGGACTCACGGGAAGATATCACAACACAACTCTAAAAATAAAATAAGTCA